TAGAACGATTCCATCAGCGTTGCCTCTAAAAAATCCTGCAAATTTCTTGGGAAGACAAGCAGAAAAATGTCAGCAAAGGAAAGCAAAGACCACCAGCATTGAAGCAATGGTCTTCCGCCATCAACTCCGCTGGACCGGCCACGATGACTGGAGGGCGAAAGAGAGAAACGTGCCAAGAGGAAGGCATGTCAAGCCAATCCCAACCGGGACCACCTTCCACCTGGAAACCAATGCCCTCACTGCGGGAGAAGATGCAGATCAAGAATAGGGCCCCACAGTCACCTAGGGACCCACCGCCAGGACACCGATCTTGGAAGACAATCCTACTCGGACAACGAGGGATCACCTAAGTAAGTAAGTACTTTCTCTCAGCTCTGCATGAAAGGTTCCCAAAAGAAAATGATAGTAATACCCACAATGGAGGGAATCAAACCCAATTACAACCCAGCCTTAGCAAAACACAAGGAAAGAGTGATGAAAGGGGGAAAAGAACAAAGCAATAAAGTTTGCCATAGATGTGTGTGAAATGTCAGGGGAGAATGCTTCTGGAACATGCCCATACAGCTTGGAAAACTCACAACAACACAGAAACAAAGTTTGCTTAGTGGAAAGGAAACTGGTCATGCAAATCTCATAGGGCGCATTAGCTGCCACCTCATATCCGTGTCTTAATCACTCTTTTATGAGCAGGTTCCTGGGACTCGGAGTTTACCAGCTTATGTCACACCCCAAGGCCAACATGCCATCGCAACCGGGCTTCAGCAAGTCATACACCCACACCCATTGCTCCAGCAGTCACACAAGGAAGGTGAGAGCATGAATGACAATTAAATACTGTATACAGTGTATTGTCAAAAGCTTTCATGGCTGGTATCACTAGAGTGTTGTGTGGTTTCCAGGCTGTATTGCCACGTTCTAGCAGCATTTTCTTCTGGCTTTTCACCTGCATCTGTGGCTGGCATCTTCAGAGGTGCCTAAACGACACTCCCCTGTATACAGTCTTTTGCTTTCCATGACCCCAGTTACGAGGACAAAGAGAGGCAGGGAAGGTGGAAAACTCAGCATCCACCCCAAGAGCTGACGTGGTGCTGTGTTTATTTTGGTTAGTCTGACGCACGCTGCAAGGTGGATTAAGATCTTCTGGGGAGGCCCTGCTCTTGCTCCTGCCTTCTTTGCAGATGAGTCTGGTGGGGACGAGAGACAGGGCCTTCTCAGCAGTGGCCCGACTGTGAAATGCCCTGCCTAGAGATATAAGATCGGCTCCCTCCCTCCTGACTTTTTGAAAAAAGGTGAAAACCTGGCTTTTTGAGCAGACCTTCCCAAATACGACATAGCTAAATGGAATTATGGAACTACTTGATAACGCAATTGAATAACAATTTGACATGGAGACGCTCACGATAATATTTTAAAATAAATTCATATATATACTAGCCATCCCCTGCCACGCGTTGCTGTGGCCCAGTCTGGTGATCTGGAAAATAAAGTAATGGTTTCTAATATATGTAATTCCTTTATGCTTGTGGGTAAATAGCATTTCTTGCTGTTCCTTTGTCAGTGTTGATATGGAGATTGTCTGGTTTGCCTACTCTGGAACATGCGACATACAATTGTCCTTCTTTAGGGGTCCTTTTCAAATCGATGATACTATATCTGTGTGTGTGACTCATATATATCTATCTATATCTATGGCTGGATGGCTCTTTGTCAGGAGGGCTTTGATTGCGTTTTCTTGCCCTGGTGAAGGGAGTTGGACTGGATGGCCTTAAGTACGGCGGTTCTGTGTGAAAGTTTGTCCCAATTCTGTCGTTGGTGGGGTTCAGCATGCTCTTTGATTGTAGGTGAACTATAAATCCCAGCAAATACAACTCCCAAATATCAAGGTCTATTTTCCTCAAATTCCATCTGTGTTCATATTTGGGCATATGGAATATTCGTGCCAAGTTTGGTCCAGATCCATCGTTGTTTGAGTCCACAGTGCTCTCTGGATGTAGGTGAACTACAACTCCCAAACTCAAGGTCAATGCCCACCAAACCCTTATAGTATTTTCTGTTGGTCATGGGAGTTCTGTGCCTCAAGATTGGTTCAATGCCATAATTGGTGTTCAGAATGCTCTTTGATTGTAGGTAAACTATAAATCCCAGCAACTACAACTCCCAAATGACAAAATCATTTTTTTTTAGTGAAGGACATACATTGGGTTATTAGGTGTCTTGTGTCCAAATTTGGTGTCGATTGGCCCACTGGTTTTTGAATTCTGTTAATCCCACAAACGAACAGTACATTTTTATTTATATAGATGCTATTGCTTTTAACATAATTTCTTGATTGTTTTTAACTTGTTATAACTGTTGAGGCATCCAATTATTGCCAATTTGTGAATTGCTCCGAGTTGCCTCTGGGCTGAGAGGGATGGTATATAAATATAGTAAGTAAATAAATAAATTATGGTGTCAACACCCTCCCAATGGTCCAGAGAGAAAGAGGCAAGAAACAGCCGGCTCTCTATGTATGCTCAGAGACGCTCAGTTGAGACAGGGTTCAAGACAAGTAAGGACAGCCCCAATGAGAGTGAGAGGAAAACAGTTCAGGATGAACAAACCAGGATTATGTCAGGAGAAGGGCAACCAAAATGATCAAAGGTCTAAGAAGTGGCTTGGGAAGCTGGGTATGCTTCACTTTGGGAAGAGAAAGTTGTGAGGGGAACTGATATCCATGTTTCAAGATCTGAAAGGATGTCACATTTCCTGCTATTCTGCAGACCAGGCTTCAAATTGCAGGAAGAAAAAAAAAAGATTCCACCTAAACATGAATAACTTCCTGACAGTAAGAGCTGTCTCGGAGAGTGTGGAGTTTTTAGGCAGAAGCCTGATGGCCATCTGTCGGGAAGGCTTTGATTGTGTCTTCATGCCTGGCAGAAGGGGGGCTTCAAGGGGGGCTTCAAACTCTAGTGGAGTATAATAGTTTAGGAGTGTTGTGAAGATTCTTTTTCTTTGGGTTTTCATGCGGAAGCCTGGTGGCCATCTTTCGGGAGGGCTTTGATTGTGTCTTCCCACCTGGCAGGCTGCATTTGGAACAGGTGGTCTTGGGGGGGGGGGTCCCTTCTAACTCTAGTAGAATATAATAGTCTAGAAGTCTCTTTATCTTAGGGTTTTAAGGCAGTCTTAGGGTCTTTAAGAAAGACTGGGTTTGGACCAGATATCCTATGTTTCTATGTGAGGAGTCCCAACTCTAGTGGAATATAGTAGTGTAGAAGTCTCTTCCTCTTGGGGTGGCCATCCGCAGAGAGGGCTTTGATTGTGTCTTCCTAACTGGCAGAATAGGTTTGGCCCAGATATCCTATGCGTGTATGTGGGGAGTCCCTTCCAAATCTAGTGGAATATAATAGTGCAGAAGTCTCTTCCTCTTGGGGTTTTCATGCAGAAGCCTGGTGGCCATCTGTCAGGAGGGCTTTGATTGTGTCTTCACACCTGGCAGCCTGGGTTTGGATCTGATATCCTTTGTGTGTTTGTGAAGAGTACCTTCCAACTCTAGTGGAATGTAATAGTCTAGAAGTCTCTTCCTCTTGGGGTTTTCATGTAGAAGCCTGATGGACATCTATTGGGATGGCTTTGATTGTGTCTTCCTGCTTGGCAGAAGGGTTAGACTGGGTGTTTTATATTGAGGGAGGGGGTTCCTTCCAACTCTAGTGGAATGCAACGGTCTAGAAGTCTCTTCCTCTTGGGATTTTCACACAGAAGCCTGATGGCCATTTGTCGAGAGGGCTTTGATTGTGTCTTCCCACCTGGCAGACTGGGTTTGGATTGGATATCCTATGTGTGTATGTGACGGAGTCCCAATTCTAATGGAATATAATACTCTAGAAGTCTCTTCCTCATGGGGTTTTCATGTAGAAGCCTCATGGCCATCTATCGGGAGGGCTTTGATTGTGTCTTACCGCCTGGCAGACTGGGTATGGACTGGATATCCTATGTGTGTATGTGGGGGGTCCCAATTCTAGAGGAATATAATAGTCTAGAAGTCTTTTTCTCTTAGGGTTTTAAGGCAGTCTGGATGGCCATCTGTCAAGAGGGCTTTGATTGTGTTCTTCTTGGCTGGCAGAAGGGTTGGACTGGATGACATTTGGAGGGGGGGGGCTTTCATTCACTGGGCTAAATTTGGCATAAATACCCAATCTGAATACTGGTGGGGTTGGGGAGGGGATTGATTTTGTCATTTGGGAGTTGTAGTTGCTGGGATTTATAGTTCACCTACAATCAAAGAGCATTCTGAACTCCATCGATGATGAAATTGAACCAAACTTGGCACACAGAATTCCCATAACCAACATAAAGTACTGGAAGGGTTTGGTGGGCATTGACCTTGAGTTTGGGAGTTGTAGTTCACCTACATCCAGAGAACACTGTGGACTCAAATAATGATGGATCTGGACCAAACTTGGCACCAATCCTCAATATGCCCAAATGTGGATACTGGTGGAGTTTGGGGAAAATAGACCGAGACATTTGGGAGTTGTAGTTGCTGGGATTGATAGTTCACTTACAATCAAAGAGAATTCTGAACCCCACCAATGATGGAAGTGAACCAAACTTGGCACGAGTCCTCAATATGCCCAAATGTGGATACTGGTGGAGTTTGGGGAAAATAGACTGAGACATTTGGGAGTTGTAGTTGATGGGATTGATAGTTCACTTACAATCAAAGAGCATTCTGAACCCAAAAACGATGGAAGTGAACCAAACTCGGCACACAGAACCCCCATGACCATGAAAAAATACATTGGTGACCCCTCTGATATCCCCCTTGCGACCCCCCCCCCCCCCAGGGGTCCGACCCCCAAGTTGAGAAACTCTGAACTAAGAGACTGATCCTTTGGGAGGGAGAGGTGGGTGGGTAATAAAGAGGATGCCAAACCAGCCCAGCCGGAAAGGCGTCGGGTTTCCTGCGGCGGCAGACGGAGCCTGTTGAAGACAGTGGCGAGGAGTTCCCGGGGACTCACCGACGGTGGTGATCAAGGTGCTGGAGAAGAAGAAGGCGGAGGCGAAGTCCCAGTTGGAGGCGGCGGCGGCGTTGGAGCCGTTTCGGGGCAGAGTGACGCCGTGCCGGTTGGCGGCGAGGAGGGCGGCCAGGAAGCGCTCGAGGGCCTCCTCGCCCAGGCAGGGGCTCTGCGCCAGGAAGGCGGCCTTCTGCGCCCGCAGCTCGGCCCGCAGGCGGCTCTCCACGGGACGCTCGACGGCCGAGATGACCAGCGCGCCCAGGAGCAGGTAGCCCGCGTAGCCCAGGCCCAGGCAGGCCAGCACCGCGCAGCCCCGCATCGCCCCGGCCAGCACAGCCGCCCGGCCCGCCCTCCCGTCCGTCCTTCTTAGGCAGCCGCCAAGCCCCTCCCGTCGGGCGGAGCCAGGACTCTCCTCCGGCCTCCCCAGGCACCTGGCGGACCCAAAGAGGCCCCGCCTACAAACTTCCCATTGGGGAATCCTCTTGCTTTGGAGTCCTTCTCCCGAGGGTCTTAAGCAGGGTTGCTGTATGGCCATCTCTCGGATGGGTTGGACTAGATGGCCTTTGGGTTGGGTCCCTTCCAATTTTAGAAGCAAGCTGGCTAGGGCTTTTGGGACGTTGAAATCCAAAGCAACTGGAGGACAAAAGGTTAGGGGGTCACCGACAGGCAGTTCCCGAGTTACGAACAAAGAGGGTTTTATGGGTTGGGTTTGTTTGTAAGTCTGAATAGGCCCTTTCATAGAGACCTCATGGGCCATCCAGTCTAATCCCCTGCCAGAAGCAGGAAAATTGCATTCAAAGCACCCCCAACAGATGGGCATCCAGCTTCTGTTTAAAATCCTCCAAAAAAAGAACCTCTACCACATTCCAGGGCAGAGAGTTCCACTGCTGAACAGCTCTCACAGTCAGGAAGTTCTTCCTAATGTCCACATGGAATCTCCTCTCTTGTAGTTTGAAGCCATTGATCCATTGCGTCCTAGTCTCCAGGACAGCAGGAAACAAGCTTGTTCCCTCCTCCCTATGACTCCTCACATCTTTCTACATGGCTATCGTGTCTCCTCTCAGCCTTCTCTTCTTCAGGCTAAACATGCCCAGCTCCTTAAGCCGCTCCTCATAGGGCTTGTTCTCCAGAACCTTGATCATTTTAGTCATCCTGCTCTCGACACATTTCAGCTTGTCAACATCTCCCTTAAATTGCTGTGCCCTGAATTGGACACAGGATTCCAGGTGTGGTCTGACCAAGGCAGAATAGAGGGGTAGACTTCTCTGGATCTAGACACTAGACTCCTACTGATCCAGACCAAAATCTCATTGGCTTTTTTTTGCCGCCGTGTCACATTCTTGGCTCATATTTAACTTGTTGTCCACGAAGACTCCAAGATCTTTTTCACACATACTGCTCTCGAGCCAGGCATTGTCCCCATTCTGTATTACCAGTGTTCACTGTATCAGATTAGGTAAAGGTAAAGGTAGTCCCCTGACATTAAGTCCAGTCATGTCTGACTCTGGGGTGTGGTGCTCATTTCCATTTCTAAGCCGAAGAGCCAGCATTGTCCGTAGACACCTCCAAGGTCATGTGGCTGGCATGACTGCATGGAGCGCTGTTACCTTCCCGCCGGAGCAGTACCTATTGATCTACTCACATTTGCATGTTTTCAAACTGCTAGGTTGGCAGAAGCTAGGGCTGACAGCGGAAGCTCCCGCCGCTCCCCGGAATCGAACCTGTGACCTTTCAATCAACAGGCTCAGGTAGGTTTTGTGGGTTGGGGTTGTTTGTAAGTCAGAATAAGCCCTTTGAAAAGCAACTCCAGTTGAAGTCGAACACGAATTTGGGAGGCCCTGGCTTGGTGGGTTTCCGTATCCACGGTTCAAAGGAACGCAGTTTCGGCCTCCCCGGACACTGCGAGAGCATCCCGAGTGAGCCGGTGAGGTTCCACGGCTCCGGTAAGGAAAGGTTCGTAAGGATAGCGAGTTAGAGTCAGTAAAGGACACAATGTATCAATCTGGAGAGGGAAAAAGTTACAAAAAGAGATACTTTTTATTGGGGGGGGGGGTTCACCATGAAACAGGGTGAGCTCAGTAGGAAAAGGAAAAGTACCTGTGTTGAAGCTGCTGCTGGAGCCACAGTCCCTTTGCTTCCATCAAGTCCATCTCTTTCTGGAACTGTGGAACTCCCTGCTGCGTGATCAGATCAGCTTGAAGGCAGGGGCCTGCGAGTTCACCCTCATTGTCACTATATAGGCCAGGGGTCCTCAAACTTTTTAAACAGAGGACCAGGCCACAGTCCCTCAAACTGTTTGAGGGCTGGATTATAATTTGAAAACAAACATGAATGAATTCCTATGCACACTGCACATATCCTATTTTGTAGTGCAAAAAAAAACAACACTTAAAACAATACAATAATTCAAATGAAAAACAATTTTAACAAATATAAACTTATTAGTATTTCAGTGGGAAGTATGGACCTGCTTATGGCTGATGAGATGAGTCTCCTCCCTGAACTACAAATGCCAGATTTCTGCAAGAGGCAGAAACTGGATTTTAAGTGGATTCATTCTCTAGTGTGATGAGGGCTACGGGTGTTTAGACTTCAACTCCCACAATTCCTAACAGCCTCAGTCCCCTTCCTTTTCCCCCTCATTAAAAAGAAGGGGTCTGAGGCTGTTAGGAATTGTGGGAGTTGAAATCCAAAACACCCAGAGGGCCCAAGTTGGCCCATGCCTGGTCAAGACCATCCTGACAGCCATCATGTCAGACTACAGAGAGAACCCATTGAAATCCACAAGCATATGAACAATTTCAACAGAAAGGAGAAAAGCAGGTACAGTAAATAATGAACACCACTCAGAAACAGGAGATCTCCAAACAACAAGCAATAAAGGGCCAGTTAACGCCTCCCAAAACAGAGGATGCCTCCAGGCAACAGAGGCCAGGCCACCGCTACTAAATGACTTTGCACCTTCATGGCTACTGAATACTATTCAATCTTTCTAATTGCAATGTTCACACTTGCTTTAAACAGACATGGGTTCTTTCTCCAACTCTGGACATTCCACACATATATATACACCCCACTTGCTTCATTGTCCAACATGCCAGCAGGACTGCTGACTGAAAGGTCGGCGGTTTGAATCCAGAGAGCAGGATGAGCTCCAGCTTCTCATGGAGGGACATGAGAGAAGCCTCCCACAGGATGGTAAGCCATCAGGCCACCCCCTGGGCAATGTCCTTGCAGACAGTCAATTCTCTCACACCAGAAGCAACTTGCAGTTTCTCAAGTCATTCCTGATGCACACACAAAATTGTCCAACAGATTATTTGAAGATGCCAGCCACAGATGCAGGTGAAACGCCAGGAGAGAATGCTACTTGAATATGATCATACAGCCTGGAAAACTGACTTCTTTGTGGTTGGGAGAGCTGCTGAGACTTCATAGAAGTGGACTAAACTGAGCTAGCAGAGAAGTCTATGTTCATAATGGAACTACACACACTAGGATTCCACAGGATGGAGTTAGGATATTTCTACTTCTTTTCTTATGCGATCCCTCGTAGTCCGAGGATGATGGTTCTCCAAGAGTGGTAACCTGGGAGTGGATCCGTAGGTGGCTGTGGAGCCCTATTCTTGATCTACATCTTCTCCCGCAGTGAGGGCATCGGTTTCCAGGTGGGGGGTGGTCCCGGTCGGGGTTGCCTTGACGCGCCTTCCTCTTGCCACGTTTCTCTCTTTTGCCCTCCATTCGTGCCTCTTCAAATTCTGCAGCACTGCTGGTCACAGCTGACGGCCAACTGGAGCTCTCAAGGGCTTCCCAGTTCCCAGTGTCTATGCCACAGTTTTTAAGGTTGGCTTTGAGCCCATCTTTAAATCTCTTTTCCTGTCCTCCAACATTACGTTTTCCATTCTTGACTTCAGAGTAGAGCAACTGCTTTGGGAGACGGTGGTCAGGTATCCGGACAACATGGCCAGTCCAGTGGAGTTGATGGCAGAGGACCATCGCTTCAATGCTGGTGGTCTTTGCTTCTTCCAGCACGCTGACATTTGTCCGCTTGTCTTCCCAGGAGATTTGCAGGATTTTCCGGAAGCGGCGCTGATGGAATCGTTCCAGGAGCTGCATGTGACGTCTGTAGACTGTCCATGTCTCGCAGGCGTATAGCAGGGTTGGGAGGACAACAGCTTTATAAACAAGCACTTTGGTCTCCCTACGGATGTCCCAGTCCTCAAACACTCTCTGCTTCATTTGGAAAAATGCTGCACTCGCAGAGTTCAGGCGATGTTGAATTTCGGTGTCAATGTTGACTTTTGTGGAAAGGTGGCTGCCAAGGTAGTGGAAATGGTCAACATTTTCTAATGTTACACCATTAAGATGTATCTCTGGCATTGGAGAGGGATTAGCTGGTGACTGCTGGAAGAGCACTTTGGTTTTCTCAATGTTTAATGACAGGCCAAGCTTCTCGTATGCTTCTGCAAAGGTGTTTAGAGTGACTTGCAGGTCTTCTTCTGAATGCAAACAGATGTTGTCATCAGCATACTGGAGTTCTATAACAGATGTTCTTGTAACCTTGGTTTTGGCTTTCAGTCTGCTGAGGTTGAATAGCTTGCCACCTGTCCAATAGATGATTTCCACTCCGGTGGGAAGCTTCCTGTCAACAAGATGAAGTATCATAGTGATGAAGATGGAAAATAAGGTTGGGACAATAACACATCCCTGTTTGAAACCTGATTCCACCTTAAATGGGTCACTTTGGGAGCCACTGCTGTCCAAGACTGTTTACAGGATATTTACAGATGGTATCACATAGCTCTAATGGTGTGCTGGAGGTACATTCATAGCTATCATCACCAAAGAGCATTTCTTTGAACAGCAGACAAGAGTTACGGCCTCAGAAAGGGGAAGTCTTTAGGTTTTGCATATGGGGAAGTCTTGGTTTGAGTGAAGGCCATCAGGCCACACGAAATATGGAAACAGGTTCTGCAGGACTAGAGTGCAGTCCAACCAGATCTTTGGGCCCACATTGCCTCCTGGCAAGCCACTTTCTCTTGCTAGGCCTGCTTTACAATGAAGCAACAGTCCAGCGAGCCCCAGTGACCATTGTCCACTTTAGCTACTATGCCATTGTGTATAAGGCATGGGCATCCACAGATTGTGGTATCAAGGACTCATTATATGTCATTTTCAATAAAGCAGATTTGAGTTAAGAGATACTTGACCAAAGGTGTCCTGCTAAGGAGCTTTTATGGATACTCTTCAAGGCTGGAAAGGATGCGGACCTTCACAATGCTGCACTCAGTAGCAGCCACAGCACATACCTGTGTTCACGTGCATGCTTTGGAGCGGACCTATCTTTCT